ATCAGCTTGGGCCCCGGTGACGCCGCTTGCGGCTTTAATTATTCTTTTGTTTTTGCATTTCTATTCACTTGTTTAGGATTTGAGTTGGGATTTTTTATCACAGTACATCCACCCCCCTCCTGCCACACCCCTCTAGGCATATGAGTTTGCTCATTTTGTAGTTAAATCAAGGGATGTATTCCTTCCATTTTAAATTCAATATAAATTTTATTCATTGAAATATGTGCTCACAAAAAATTAACAGTATTTGGAGGCCAGATGTGGTTGGATGTGAATGAAAAGCAATTTGTTTGTTTGTTGTTGTTTTTTGGGGGGGGGGTGCAGATGTAGTGTGTAAAGAGATGTACATCTATTTAGAAAGTTAATTAATATGGTAGTTACATTTAAGAAAAAAACTTGTTTAAACAGTTATGATGCTGGACAGGTTTTTATAAACAGAATTTTAGTAACAGAAACTAAATTTGATATAATATATACAGAGCTAAGGTATAACTTACTTTAATTTTTGCAGGATATGAAAGGTACATTAGCCAAAGAACTTGATTTTGAAAATGAAGGATACAACGCAGAACGGTGTGGTAGAGATCTCAGACATATGAAATCTGTGTATGTGCCAAAAATATATTGGAATTTGACAACAAAGGTCAGTGTTGCATTCTAACTTTTTGAATATACAAGAATCAAGGCAGTTGTGAATACTAAAATTTTCACCTAACAACTACAAACTATGCCTGATAGAACGGCATAAGTCAAATCAAACCTTTATCTGCCAATTCATGCTTTCATATTGAATTCATATTCTAGTGATTATAACCTGACTTTCTGCAAACTGAGATGAACAAAATGGCTGATATGATGACTTACTCTGACACAGTATAAATGGTATATTAAGTGAAACCACGTCATCCCTTACACTGACCTTTTGAAAATGTCTTGAGTTTCTTTTTCCCAATACTAAATAAAATGGTACATATCTTTATGATTTCTAATTTACTGATATCTGTTTATTTTTCATCAGCGAGTGTTAACCATGGAACACATCGAGGGATGCAAAGTGACGGACAAGGAATCCATTCACAATATGTCTCTTACTCTTCAGGATGTAAGTGTCTAGAATTCACAGTCTGGAAATGTTGTGATAAAAGAAAATAGTAACAACATTTACTTTGCACTTTCTTACCTACTAGAGTATGTTTCTGTAACAGATTTTTAAACTTTTTCACCACCAGTTCCCTCTTTTCATCACAAATTCTCAAAATATTCTTTTATAGTCTGCACTTTACTTCAGAAAATTGGCACAAAAATAACTGAATATTGATTCAAATTTTGTCTGTTGGCTCCAAAATTAGGGTTCATTGTCAGAAATATTGAAGAATATAAGAAAAAAGTGCAGGCAAAATTTGGGTGAGAAAGTCTGGTGGTAAAAAGGTTAAAGTATACATGTAGCTGTAAACTAAAAGGGTGTGGTTTCACAGCTGAATATTGGATTAACATAATTGTTCTGTATTAATCCATATATTAAATATTAGGCATGAGCAATTACATAGGAACTATAGAAGCATTAGAACACGTGCTTACAGCAGATATTTCTAAATACCTCAAAAATTATGTCATTGCCTGTATGCAAATTAGGATTCCAATAGCACCATACAAAGAAATGTTTTAATTATTTTATCACTGAAATTTTAAACTTATTGTAATAAGTTAGCCATCGGCATCAGATAATGATATTGTATATGTATATTTAATTTGTGTTTAATTTACAAAACTGCTTCTGATTGGCTATCAAACTTTAACACCAAACTATCCAACCAATCATGGAACATCTTATGCTAGTTATCAAAACCAATCTAAATTTGACTTTTAAATTGATTCTTTGGTTGAAACATCTGAATGTCATCTTTTACACTTTTATTTTTAGTCCCCGTTCGGACGAAGTCCGAAAACGGGGACTTAAAATTCGATCTCTGTCCGTGCGTCTGTGCGCCATATCTCAGAATCCCTTGGACCGATTCCGTTCATTCTTTGCATGTGCCTAGTACCTTGTGTGGGACATATGCACATGCAGTGGTTTAGCGATTCAATTCAAAATGGCCGACTGGCAGCCGCCTTGTTTTTTGAAAATGTTGTATTTTGGACTTGCTTTGTCAGTTGTCATTCAAACTTGGTACATAGATTATACATGTTAGGATACATGTCCATGACGATTTATTTCGCAATTGGATCAAAGATGGTCGACCGGCAGGCATCTTGTTTTGTTTTTTTATGCGGTATCTTGGACGTGCTCTGTCAGTTTTCATTCAAATTTGGCACATACATGTACTTTATACATGTTAGGATGCATGTCCATGACAATTTATTTCAAAATCTGGTCAAGGATGGCCGATTGACAGCCATCTGACTTTTTGGCCTTACCACTATATTTCCACAATTTATGTACCATTTTCATTCGTATTTGGCACATACATCATGCATATCAGTGTGTTTCATAATCAGATCAAAGATGGCCGAATAACAGCTGTTTTTATTTTTGGCCATATTACTACTACATGGAACACTTGTTTTGATGTAAATAAACAATCTGTTGTATACGCCACTTGGAACTCAAGTTTCAAGGACACGCTTGCGACAACTCCTCCGCTTTAATATGACGAGCACAAAGAGAAATTTCAAAAATTTAACGGGGACTGTGTCATTTTCAATGACTTGTCTGATTAAAATCTGATTTATTCAAAGTTTTCCCATTTATTTTTATATATTTTACTTTATTTTTGCTATACTTTTCAATTTGTTTCAATGTTATTAGGTATTATCAGAGGTACATTACTTGGGGTTTGCAA